TGTGATTGAAGAGATGGAAAATTTACTCTTAGTGTGGATAAAGGAGAAAGAAATGGCAGGTGGTAACATTAGTGAAGCTATAATTTGTGAGAAGGCTAAACAATTGTTTGAGGACCTTAAAGCCAAGACTCCCAGTGGAAGTGATAGTGATGTGCCAGTGTTTAGGGGTACCTGCATGCTGAATAACACTAAGGTAAGATAAAGTACCTTATTTTTTACATTTTCCACAGAATTTTTTCAGTGTTAAGTGGTTGTATTTGGGGGCCTGGAACGGATTAATCCTATAACGAACGAATGCTATAACGAACGAGGTTCTGGAACCAATTACGTTCGTTATAGCATACCCCACTGTATTCTATAAAAAAAATTAAAATGCGTCTTGTTATCATAAGGTTAGGTTAGGTTAGGACAAGAATCCATTACCACGTGTCTACACCTCAAGTTATAAAGGATTACACAATTCCTTGCAGGGATTTTTTTTTTACACTCAGGATGAAGGAGAAATATATATATTGTCTTAAATTTACAGTCATGTGGTAGGAATGTTGTTTGATGTGAGGTGAGCGTCAGACGTGCACAGGGCCTCACTGGTGGATCAAGTGGAACACACACACACACACACACACTCACTCACTCACTCACTCACTCACACACACACACACAAACTAATAGCTTTTAGGCTAACACACTTTACCTCTAAGTCAGTAATGTCTCTCTCAACTAACTAACTAACACACTTCACCACCAGGTCAGTGATGTTCTCAACTAAATATTTACCAGTAAGCTAAAGCCACCACCAGACAGATATGCAGACGACGCCTGGTTTATTTTCACTATGCTCCACACACACACACACACACACACTCACACACTGTATTATAGGTCCGGGCGACAACAACCACACCATGGGGCTATATAATTAGTATAATCATCCCATATATAATCGCACTTGTACCGAGTATACGATTCTTATAATAACTAGTTAACAGGAAATCATATAATTACTTTGTTAAATTTACCTTCTGTAATTAATATCAAAGAGCCTATGTAAAATTTCACCTAACCTAACTTAACCTAGCCTAACCTAACTTAACCTAGCCTAGCCTGGCAGCCAGGCCTGGCTCAACTTGGCCTGGCTAGCCTAATCAGCCTGGCCTAGCCTGGCAGCCTTGCCTGGCCTGGAGCCTGGCCTGATCTGGCCTGGCCTGGCTTGGACTGCCCCTGGCCTGGCCTGGCTAGCCTTGCTGGCCTGGCCTTGCCTGGATCCTGGCCTGGCCTGGCCTGGCCTGGCCTGGCCAGTCGTTGCATAACCTGGCAGCTTCAACCTGGCAGCTACAGCCTGACTAGGCCTGGCCTGGCCTGGCCTGGCTTCCTGGCAGCAGCCTGGCCTGGCCTGGCCTGAATCAGGCACGAATGCACGTCGAGACGTTCTCACTGCCATGGTTACGACACTAACCGCACCAAAACACAACACACACACAGGAGGGTAGCAGAGTGATTCAGTAGCTACCTGTATACACCTGTAGCCCTCCCTCACACTACCTGTTATTTGGGTAATCTACTACAGGTAAAAAAGTGGCTCCACAGGTACACATTACGCTCTCTATCACACCAGTAAATATAAGTAAATATATACACCAGTCTACCGCCATAATCAGTTCTTTCAACAGTTATTTTCAGCCAAGAGTTACAAGCAGGTCAGTACCTCGTTGTTTAATGATTTGTATTGTATCTTAAGTTACCTCTTGCCTTACCCGGGTGACGGTGAGAACACGTCCAACTGGCCCGGTTAGGTTAGGTTAGGTTCGCTAGTTTGGTTAGAGCAGGAAAGGTCACCTAACCTCACCTCACCTCACCTCACCTAACCTAACCTCACCTCACCTCACCTAACCTCACCTAACCTAACCTCACCTAACCTAACCTAACTTAACCTTCCCTAACCTAACCAAACCTACCGTATCCTACCCAACCCTATAATTGAAGGATGTCCATGAGGCTCACTACATCAATTATCCAGAAAATTATCCATAATATAAAAGCAGAATTAAATAGCATAACATCGAGGCAGCAAAGAGAGCTATCAGTATGAGCCAAGGTAATTATCCACGTCTTATAAATTATTCTCGAGAAGCAACGTGTTATGAGATCAACTTGTTTTGGTGTGTGTGTGTGGTGGCTGGGGTTAGGTTAGGTTAAGGTGAAGGAGAGAGGCGCCATGACAATTTATAGTAACCTTAAAAAAAATCCCTCTTCCTTGTGCTTGATAGAATTTCCATCAGTCAAGTCAGGAATGACGAACACAGGGACCGTAGATAATTTTTTTTATGGGAAGGGATGAGAGTTGTACAGGTGTGTGTGTGTGTGTGTGTGTGGCCAGTGATTCAACCCTAAAATCCAACAGTACTCCTCACACACACACACACACACACACACACACACACACACACACACACACACACACACACAAAGTTCAGATTGCAACCACTGAAAAATCAACTTTTGGCGCGCAAAGTGAAAACTGTTCCCGCCAAAATGGAAGACCCCAAGAGAATCGACCTTGTTTTGGTTAGGTTCGGTTAGGTGGTCTGAGGAGCAAGTACAACCAATGTCTTGTATATCACTAACTCCTCCTGCCCACAACAAAGCAGTACACAGCGGGAGTACTCAGTGAGAACGATCAGAGCAACGATACAATTTCTGCGAGTCCAATTCATCGGCCGCCCGGCGAGCTTTAGGAATATTAAACGAGTCTACAGTACCGACCCATTCTGCGCCTCGCTAGTGACGCTACCCATCACCCCTGCCAAGGCATCAAGGCATCAAGGCATACAGCGGGCATACCATATAATCCCCCAACCGACGGTAACTAATAAAAACTCCAAACCTCAATGTACTTATGAGAAATACACTTAATTTACTTACTGTATATATATATGGTGATGTTTGCTTACAGTGGCCATGATAGACAGTTAAATTAAGAACTGTACACTGGGGAATGTTATCATCTAGATCAAGATAATTAATAATAGAATAGAAAAGAAGACATGTAGACAAGGCAATGATATTAAACTCAATGAAAAAAAAATCTAGTCAAATCTTTATATATAAGTCACCGTTATTTAAGGTCTCACTATAATAAAAATGGCAAAAAGATATTCTCAGTTAACGAGCACCAACCTAAGATCCGTACTGGAGGAAATTTTATTCTCTCTCCGTCAGACACGCCTGAGTGAGCATTGATCGTACCCGTTCCTTGTAGCGAGGAAATGTGACCGTGGCGAAGTTCTCTAGTAATCGATAAAGTGTGTGTCCATCGCCAGACCCACACTGAGCCGCTGTTCTGACCTCGCATGATTCACGGGTGGTCTAGAATCAATGCATTTCAAAGAGAACACCGAACATTTTTTTTTTTTTAGCACATTAGTTATCCAAGATCCATTACACTCTGATAGTAACTGTGAATTAAACTCTAAATTGTTATTACTACTATTCACTCATGTTGTTATTGTTGCTGCTGAATACAAAGGCATGTGTAAAAATCAGGTGTTTACGGTAATTAACATTATAATCCATTAAATTGAACCTCGCCAGCAGACAGTGCAATGGTCTGGATCCACGAATAATCGCCTGTTAATTTTCACTTGTGCTAGCTGAGAGAGAGAGAGAGAGAGAGAGAGAGAGAGAGAGTGACTGGTTGGGTAAGAAAACAAACATTAACACATATTTGGACGCTTCGTTATCCAACATAAGGAGGGAGAAAATGCATCTGTAAGCGCCGTCCAGTCTTATTGTAATTTAACGTCATATGTGAGTCAAAGGAAGCGTCCTCACGTCTCCTGTTACTGGGGAATTTAATATAGGAACTTCCTTTATGGAGGATCACAGACCTGGCGGCCCATCAGAGGTACAATACAATTATTAGGGGCAGTGCGCTCCATCGCCTTCAGTTGTCCGTCCGTTAAGACAGGTGTCCATTCATAGCTGGTTGGGGTCCCGGGCACCAGCTAGTGGTAAAGGTGAATGAAGGAAGAGCAGCTTGTGGGGGACACGACAGTCTACCTCAAGATGTTTACAGCGTTTCCTTATGGTGAGGTAAACACGAGGACGGTGATCGTTATATTATAACTCATAACATTTACGTTAAACAAATGACCAGTTAAACGCAGTCTAACTATAACGTCGTCATTCATGTTAAGAAATTGTGGCAACTTGTCCTCAAAGTTGGGATGTGGCAATCCTTACAGTTGCCATCGTCTATGACAGTACACACGGGGCAGCCACATAATTTTTAACAGCGGGGTTGAGGGACACATACAGGTATGTTATCAGGGACACTGACGGGACACAACTAGCGCCGCTAACTAACTCCTACTGGTCACTGCTGGAGGAGCCTTCACCTGGCAACACTGGCTCTCCCCCACACACAGTACCGGAGGTCTACACTATTTCTAGTGACTATTACTGACGCTCACACTGTGTTGCACCAACATCCTACACACTGGTGTTGGCTTTGAGCATCGTCTGTAACCCCCCACCACCTCCCCCAGCCAGGGCCACAACCAGGCTGCCTCCATAACTTTCACTCTGAATCTAGTGTAATCATCCGGCACGACCACAGCAACACCTTAGCAACAGCACCAAAACAACGACACACAAAAAAGGTGACTGGCAGAACTTCGACAACACCACCCATTCACTCTGGCTGTGTGTGTGTGTTACTAGGTTACATCTCCCATTAGCTGTCCTGGGGGTAGTTAACAATATATACGGCGTCTGATACTGTAGAAGTGTAGAAAAAAATGCATCACAAAATCACAAACAATATCTTAGCATTGTTTATATCTCCATCAAGGCAAAGGTCCTAAATATAACACTTATGTAAACACGTCGAGGTGATTGCTAACAATAGATTAAACAGGTAAACAAAAAGACAGAGCGAGTTTAAAACAATAGCCAGTGATAACATCTTGGGGATAAGAATAAATGAATGGCCTGTCAGCATGTCCACAGCCCTAACATTACTGACATCAAGGTCGGTCAGGCCAGCCACGAATGATAAGAGAAATAGTGCTCGGTGGACAGCCAGGGAGGGAAGTCAGCTGTCTCTCGTAATAACCACAGTGCAGAGGATATTGATAGGCGAAGATAATAACAAATCGGCAGCAGAGCAGACCCATGCATACTGGTCCTAGCCGGTAGCAGCTCCATGCAGGGTATAGACGAGGCTCACACGGTCGCAGAATACATAATCGATTTTTTTCTTCTTCTTCAAAGTCTGCGGCACACGAGACAGCAACCTAGTCCACAAACCATTACGGCGGCAGCTCGTTAAGTGGTGATGGTGGACGTGATGGCACCAGCAGGATATAAATAAGCCGAAGTATTATTACATTTAGCAAGCATTATGATGATACGAGCATTACCTTATATAAACTCACTCGTCACATGTGTGGAGGTGTGAGCGATCATTATATACCCTCTCGCTGACATTAATTCCTTATAAATGTATCACTACCTCAACCCATAACAGATCGACGCAAGAATTAAATCTAAATCTTCGCTCACCATTTATTTTTCAAAACTAAATCCTTCACTTTAATTAATCTTACTTTCACTTACACTCAGCATCGTTTGTTGACCAATACTCACTCTCACAACACAAACAAAGTCCTCTTCACTTATAATAAACTTGAAGATCTTTAATTTCACTTTTTTTTACTCCGCCACTGTTGTAACCACGAGACCTAGCTTGACCCTTATACAACCTTCGACAAAGTACCCCAGACCTGGAGGAGCTGCGACACAATCTCTGCTTTCACTGCATTTCACCAACTCCTTGTAGAGAGAGAGAACAGCGTAACAGCTCAATGACCCCCTCGTTCCCAGCCGACACTTGTGTATTCTAACTCGGATAATATGTTGGTGGCAAGGCTGTATAAGATTTACAACTCATGACTCAGATAAACAAGATAACTGGCGGCCGCAACAGCAACGATAATCATCAACACCCTCTTGTGGGCGACAGTCTCCATGTTTGGCTGGCGGGCCGCTGCGTGTGTGGAAAACCTCTTACAAGCTTTACCCAAAACGTATACAGTATATCACCAAGTTGAACGAGCCATCTGTTTTCACCCCGAGGAAAATCACTCACGTTCTCAAGTTATCCTCAACATAGAACGTTACACCAAGGACTCTAGTTGTCTCCCGGAGGCCAGCAGAAGCTACGGCAGGAACAATGAACATAACTTATACAAATAAAATATAGCGAATACGTGTGTGTCGAGAGTCCATTCAAGATATTCCATTCATGAGATAACCGGCGATGGGGTGGGGTGGGGTGGGATGGGGTGAGGTGGGGTGGGATGGGGTAGGGTGAGGTGGGGTGGGATGGGGTCACAAGATGGCGGCGCCCTATTTATGGGGTGAATGGCTAGGTTCAACCCGCCGTAATGACTACACTCTACTGTACCTTTCTAACACGGACATATCATCACCCCTGAGCCATTACCGTAGTGCCCCCAACCACACTCACCCCAACCACACTCACCCCAACCACACTCACCTCACCTCACCTCACCTCACCTCACCCCACCTCACCCACCACCTCACCTTAAACCCATCACCCACCTACCTACACATTAACCCCTCATCCATCATTCAACCATATCATCCATTTCTATACCCACATAAGGTCATCCATCACGTATGGCTCAGGATGGATAATGGATTACAGAGGCACAGTAACCAAACCAAACCTAACCTAACCAAACCTAACCAAACCTAACCTAACCTAACAAAACCAAACCAAACCAAACCAAACCTAACCTAACCAAACCTAACCAAACCAAACCTAACCAAACCCAACCAAACCCAACCAAACCAGACAACCAACCAAACCCAACCAACCAAACCAAACCAAACCCAACCAAAACCAAACCTAACCAAACCTAACTCCAACCAAACCAAACCAAACCTAACCCAACCAAACCAAACCAAAACCAAACCAAACCCAACCAAACCCAACCTAACCTAACCAAAACCAAACCCAACCAAACCAAACCCAACCAAACCAAAACCTAACCCAACCAAACCTAACCAAACCAAACCTAACCAAACCTAACCAAACCTAAACCAAACCAGACCAACCTAACCAAACCAAAACCAAACCAAACCTAACCAAACCGGGCAAACCCAACCAAACCCAACCCAACCAAACCAAACCAAACCCAACCCAACCAAAGTAAACCAAACCAAACCAAACCCAAACCCAACCAAACCAAACCAAACCAAACCAAACCAAACCCATCCTAAACCAAACCAAACCCAACCCAACCAAACCTAACCCAACCAAACCCAACCAAACCTAACCTAACCAAACCCAACCAAACCGAACCAAACCTAACCTAACCAAACCAAACCAAACCAAACCCAACCAAACCAAACCAAACCCAACCTAACCAAACCAAACCTAACCAAACCAAACCCAACCCAACCAAACCTAACCTAACCAAACTCTAACCAAACCAAACTAAACCAAACCAAACCTAAACTAAAGTCTCTACTTAAATCAACCTCAAGAGCCCTGAGAACTATTGGTATCTTTGGCCTAGAGTTTGCATATGTCCTTGTTTACTAGATACGTTGGAGAGAGAGAGAGAAGGGGGGGATGAGTGGAAGAGTAAAGGAAGGAGAGGAGGGAAGGAGGAGAATGGGAGTGAGTGAGAAAGGAGTGAGGAGGGGAAGGAGAGGGAAGGGAGGAGAAATTGAGGAGGAGAGGGAGGGAAGGAGAAGGAAGGAGGTGGGGAGAATGAGGAGTGAGTGAGGGAGCGAAGGAGGGAAGGAGAAGGAAGGGAGGAGAATGAGTGAGTGAGTGAGGGAGCGAAGGAGGGAAGGAGAACGAAGGGAGGAGAATGAGTGAGTGAGTGAGTGAGGGAGCGAAGGAGGGAAGGAGAGGGAGAGAAGGGGAATGGATCTCAGGAATGACGTTTGGGAATCCCTGATTATTTTACATAATGATTAAACACCCTAACCTAACCTAACCTAACCTAACCTAATCTAACCTAACCTCATTTTACTTAAGACTCCCATGAAAATTGAGGTCCATATTTTTCCATTTACTTAAGATGTGAACGTCTGTATATTTCGACCATTCTTGAAGGCATAATGTCCCTGTCAAGTTTCAAGATAATATCCCTGTCAAGTTTCAAGATAATGTCCCTGTCAATTTTCAAGATAATGTCCCTGTCAAGTTTCAAGATAATGTCCCTGTCAAGTTTCAAGATAATGTCCCTGTCAAGTTTCAAGATAATGTCCCTGTCAAGTTTCAAGATAATGTCCCTGTCAAGTTTCAAGATAATGTTCCTGTCAAGTTTCAAGATAATGTCCCTGTTAAGTTTCAAGATAATATCCCTGTCAAGTTTCAAGATAATATTCCTGTCAAGTTTCAAGATAATGTCCCTGTCAAGTTTCAAGATAATGTCCCTGTCAAGTCTCAAGATAATGTCCCTGTCAAGTTTCAAGATAATGTCCCTGTCAAGTTTCAAGATAATATTCCTGTCAAGTCTCAAGATGATGTCGCTGTCAAGTTTCAAGATCACAACTATTTCAGGTGAACAATTTACCCAATACAGTTTACGATACTACTTAGACGTTTGTGAGACACTGTATACGATAATTTACAGCTCTAGAAATGACTCGTATCACCTCCCATCTTTAGCGTTTAATAAGTGCGAATCAATCTGTTGACTCGGTTGACTTAATTACCTCTACCTGATGGTCGAGCTGAGATGAAGTACAGCAAAGAGTTAACATCTGGCAAAATGTCAACAAACTCCACCACACACCCTACCCTTCACACTCCGCCCCCCATACACGCACCCACATACATACATACCCTCCCCCCCATACATACACACACACCTCTCCCCCCATACATACACACACCTCTCCCACACACACACACACACACCCTTCCCCACACTCACCTCCTCTCTCTCTCTCTCTCTCTCAAATACATATTGGAGGAGTGAGGAGTCTTCTCTACCTTCTCTCTTCCACACCTCACAAGGTAGGAGGACCATAGTGTCTCCTTGAATACCTGCCGAAGGACCTACACTCCTACAGGATCTTCACCACCATGGTCCTGGAGTGAGTCTTAACCCACCATCATACCCTACCCTTAACTATGGTCCACCAGTGAGTCTTTATCCTCATCTACCTTCCATCATAAGGCTCCTGTCATTGCCTCAGTCTCCAGATGGTCGAGAATCTAACACTGACACTAGGGACACTGAACCATCTGACAGGAGGTAGCGTCACCTCAGACTCAACCAATCACAGACCTCTTGAGCCTTGACAGACTCCCCATTAAGCCTCACCAGGGAAGAAAAGACTCAACCAGGCTCCTAAAGCAGTCATCACCACAGCCTCTCCAGAGTTATGACCTACAACATTTACATTTAGTTTGAAATTAAGAGGTGTGTGTGTGTGTGTGTGTGTGTGTGTGTGTGTGTGTGTGTGTGTGTGTGTGTGTGTGTGTGTGTGTGTGTATAAGATCACAAACTTTATGACTCTAGTTTTATATAGTAGAAAAAAAAACTGACATAATCTTACCGTTTAGTAATGAGACTTATGTTTACTTTTAATAACAGACAAAAATGCCGTAAAACCTCACAAAAAAGTCGATATCCCCTAAAAGTTGTGTACATAAACTAACAAGAGTTTTTACATAACAGCCACACACAAAAGTTCAGCCTATCTCATCATCAACACATAACCTCAGAGTAAACCCCCCAAAAAGGTCAGTATATCAACCCCACAAAAGTCAGGTCCACAAAAGCCAGGTCCACAAAAGCCAGGTCCACAAAAGCCAGGTCCACAAAAGTCAGGTCCACAAAAGCCAGGTCCACAAAAGGTCCAGGTCCACAAAAGTCAGGTCCACAAAAGCCAGGTCCACAAAAGTCCAGTCAAGTCAGGTCCACAAAAGCCAGGTCCACAAAAGTCAGGTCCACAAAAGTCAGGTCCACAAAAGCCAGGTCCACAAAAGCCAGGTCCACAAAAGTCAGGTCCACAAAAGCCAGGTCCACAAAAGCCAGGTCCACAAAAACCAGGTCCACAAAAGCCCTGAACATTACCCAGTGCTCCAGGTCTGAGGAATCCCCCCCCCTCCCCCCAGTATATCCAGGAGAACCGGGAAAATGATGCCCTGTCAAGGTACGCGACCATTGTTCCCTCCCCCAGTAGGTAGAGCCTCTTACCACCGCCCTTGTTTACCTCTCATCACACACCTGACCTGACCACTTGGCCTCGCATGACCTCCTTATTTGTTAAGTTCCGCCCCGCTCCATCCTTGTAAACTCTTTGTGATGTCGGGGTGAAATTTGGCGCTACATACTGTACTTGTCTCGACTAACTAAACAAACCACTTGGAAAAATACACTTGTCTCATGGCCAAGACTTACAGATTACCCTAAGTGACAACTACATCACCTTGTACCTATTTCTTATCTATCTTAAGAGTATCACTGAGCTGTGCTACTAAATTTGATGTCAACAGGGTACAGTGGGTCAGTCTTTTATTTATGACAGTAAGGAGGGAATTTTTAGAGCCACACCATAAAGAACACACCCCCAACCATATCCCTGCACGTCATAAAAGGCGACTAAAAGCCTGGGTGGTGGTTAACAGCCCATCTCCACACACACACACACACACACACACACACACACACACACACACACACACACACACACACACACACACACACACACACACACACACACACACACACACACACACACACTACTCAAAAATGCATGCAGCCTCGGCCCTCCCCTCTCCTTCCTTCCCTTCTCCCACCTCCTTCCCTTCCCTTCCCTCCTAAATAACACAGGAGATGATAAAGGCTTTCTCAAGGGTAAATAACATAGGATCTTCAACCATCTATAGCCAGTCTTAGGGTACAGGTGAGTGAAGGAAACGTGACAGTGACCTATAGGAACAGTATAGTGTGGACGACTGTATGTTGTGTGACGTGTTGGGGACGTGTTATGTGTGACCCCAACAACAACACGTACAGTACAGACATCTAAAGCACCTAAATGATGTGTCAGCTTATAACTAAAGAGTGACGTTGTAACTGGCCCCAAAACACATCCCTCAATCCCTAAAAACATAATCAGACAAGTCAGGAAATATTAAGCACTAGGTTGACTAACTAGCCCAGAATATAAGCCTAAACTAACTCACTATTCATAACGTTCACTCACAAATTAACAAAAGACCAATTTAACAAAACCCTCAATAATAATAATGCTAATTTAATCTTAACTTACGAGCCGTATTAACAAACTCGCCATCAGCATCATAACAAAATGTATTACAGGAAACAAAAATTAAGTTACAGAATCTCTTAGGTCATTCTGTACTGTAACCCGTGTTTAGTAAATCATTCTGTACTGTAACCCGTGTTTAGTAAATCATTCTGTACTGTAACCCGTGTTTAGTAAATCATTCTGTACTGTAACCCGTGTTTAGTAAATCATTCTGTACTGTAACCCGTGTTTAGTAAATCATTCTGTACTGTAACCCGTGTTTAGTAAATCATTCTGTACTGTAACCCGTGTTTAGTAAGTCATTCTGTTCTGTAACCCGTGTTTAGTAAATCATTCTGTTCTGTAACCCGTGTTTAGTAAATCATTCTGTACTGTAACCCGTGTTTAGTAAATGTGTCTAATTAAGGTACACATCACAAATTAATTTTAATGGCATGGAAGTTATTTTATGTTTTATCTTTAGGCAAACAGGTTTAGGTTAGGTTAGGTTAGGTAAGGTAAGGTAAGGTAAGGTAAGGTTAGGTTAGGTTAGGTAAGGTAAGGTTAGGTAAGGTAAGGTTAGGTAAGGTAAGGTAAGGTAAGGTTAGGTTAGGTTAGGTAAGGTGGAGTAAGGTTTAGGTTAGGTAAGGTTAGGAAAGATTAAGTTAGGTAAGGTAGGTAACGTAAGGTAGGTTAGGTAAGGTAAGGTGGGTAAGGTAAGGTTAGGTGTGGGTTAGGTGAGTTAGGTAATGTAAAGT